CTCTTCTCTCTAATCTCTTCTCTCGTTCTGTCTCGATGTCGCGCGCCGTAGCGAGACAACGTCTTTTACTGCCACGCTAATCAAATTCCTCCGTATAGAAAAAAATATAATATAATATAAATATAGAATATGGTGCCGCGCTATATTTATTGAACAGAGCGCGCTTTTGAGACAACGTCTCTTCATGTCCATCGAATTCTTCTGTAAGCATCTGTCATGCATGGACTAGGATACAATCAGGAGTGATCATGAATAATAATAATAATTGATTATATTTATTATAATCTATTATTACTCACTCCTGATGCAATGTATGTTATATGTATCAGACATATCCCCCGCTACGTCGCTGTGTGCTTACATCGTGTCTTTATGTTATATGTATCAGACATATCCCCCGCTACCTCGCTGTGTGCTTACCTCGTGTCTCAGCAGAAGTGACGAACATTGAAGTAATGCTCCCATCAGCTTATGCGCGTTCCACGTTACCGAATCGGCCCTGAAATCATATATTTTTATAAATTGCTTCCTGATGCTTATTCAGCCCAGCTGCCTATGGACGCCCTCAACTGTTGTACAACACCTTAACGCCAGAGGCATATTTTAAATGAAATCATTTGTCATTGCATCGTGGAACGTTTGCGTGATAGGCCACGTGTATGGGACACAGTATTGACGAGAACGTGCCCTTGTTGTGGTCTCGCATGAAATCTATCCGGCAGGGGGGCTATGTTACTATTAAATCACACAAGCACACCTCGTATGTTCTCAAGTGATTATTACGTGGCAAATTAACTCGTCTAAAATATAGGCGTATATGTGTGTGAACGCATCAACATATGCCAAGGCTGTATACATATCGTTTGTCTCTCACGTGGAATGTATATATATATATAAAATGTATATATATATATATGCGACGGGAGAGGAACCGTCGTTTTTCAAATAGCGATTTTATCTAAACAGCCAATCATTCCCATTTACCCTGTATAGGCGTTTACAGATAAGTCTAACACAACTTATTCATGCTATCACATTTTCCATCTTGAAATTTCCCATTTCCCATTTCCAATTTAATACAACTTGCTATCCCATTCTTTACTGCCCCGTATCTCCTTACATTACTTTTTTCTCACCCTCTCACGCATACTTTTTTTCCTTTCTCTCTTACATCTATTGCGGACAGCGATAACAACAACCGCTAACAAGGTTCGTAATCCACACTTTTCTACTTCGACATACTTCTCAATTCCGGCTAGCAATGTTCTGTGTTTTTTCGACAGTAAGAGTCCTCCACCCCAGGCGGCCTGAAGCATGAAAACAGCAATATTGAGACTGATCGTATACTGCGTGCGAGACACGGACGGAAATGATAGGATAACGTCGGAGGTTACCCGAGATGTTGATGGTAACAGGTGTTGTCCGTATCTCGACTGAGCAGTGACTGTGCATTGATAAGGCATTGACCGTACATTAACTGGATATTAACTGGACATTAACTGGACATTGACCGTACATTAACTGGATATTAACTGGACATTGACCGTACATTAACTGGATATTAACTGGACATTGACAAGGCTCTGACCGTACATTAACTGAACATTAACTGAACATTGGCTGGAAATTGACCGTACATTAACCGGACATTGACAATGCATTGACCGTACATTTACTGGACATCGGCTGGACATTGACCGTACATTAATTGGACATTAACAAGGCATTGACCGTACATTAACTAGACATTAACTGGACATTGACAAGGCATTGACCGTACATTAACTGGACATT